ATGTACTCCTGTACGAGTAGTACACATGAGATTTTTTTCAAATTTTTATAGTGCAAATTGAAACAGGAAAAATTTCATAAATAATGACCATCAATTTTTATCCTGATTCTCAGCTGAGTTTATTTAGCAATTTTATTTTGCAAGTTGCGGTTGATGGAAAATTCTAAAAAAATTCAGGGTTGTGTTATAATACAATTAGGAGACATGCGAATTTTTCCAAATTTTTCTACCCACTATTTACATTAATCAATTTTCAACATTCACAGAATTTTGTGATATGAAACAATTTTTCCACTTTTCCAAATGATGCGATTTAAATAAAAATTCATGAAGTTAGACAAATTTCAAAAAATGCCAGATTTTCATTTCTGGTATTTTTTTTCTAAGATCCTAACGTGTCAAAAATTCTGAAAAAATTCAAATGAATACTAATATACAATTTCTTTTACAAATGCTGAGAATCCGATGTATGACATTAGGATGAGAGTGAGAAGCATTCCCGAGGTGATACTTACTTGATCACAGCCAGAATAAAGAAAGCGACGAGGAGAGTGAAGAACGAAACGGTGTACCCAATTTTCGAGATGGTCTTTACTATCGGGAAGAATTTCTGCAAGAGAAATTGCCAATAATTAGGCAATTTTCGAGGTAATTAGAACGGTTGGGAGGAACGAGCCTCTCGATGAATTCGTCGATGCGGTTAATGTGGAAGGAACGCGTGACTCGATATTTGAACATTCGTCAAACGCGAAGTAGATGTAGTTTGTGGCCTTTGAGGTGGTTTATAGAGACTGGACTCTAGGGAACGTCGAATAGTTACATGAACAATCCTGGATCGTTCAATTTTAATCACTTCAAGTTTACCCAAATTATAATTCAAGTCTAATTACATTGGCGAATATTCTTTTGGAATATTGAAATGACATGATAATACAAATGGAAATATTATTATTGCCCATATGCATTACTTCTTTAATAAATTTTATGTATATAAATTGAAAACATCTAACTTCAGTAATGGAGAGTCAGAAAAGAGGGGAAATCGTTCCTGAGAGATTTCTTACCCCATCATTGCGTTTATACAGGGTGTCCAAAAACTAGTGTAAGATATTGAAATGGGAGGTTCCTGACAAATTTTTAACAATATTTTTCTTAGCGAGAAAGTTGAGGCATGGTTGAGGAGTTATTAACAAAAAGCCTCGACCAATCAGAGCGCTCGGTTGGCGCGAGCTACGAATCGGGAGCGTTGGTTCGAATCTGGACGTCCGACTTTTGACGCGTGAACCGCTCCACTCAATACGA